GAGCAGCACCAACCCACCTCTCAGCACATTACTACTGAGAGCAGCTATTAAGTGTAGGAAGACAGATGACTGCTCGGTACCAGGTTCAAGAGATGCTCAGGATGCCCACTCACAGTTGATATCTTCATGGTAAGGAATTCATTTTAATCATGGTGGCTGGCCCTGCAGGGGGACCTTAAAAATGATACTTCCTTAAGCCATGCACCCTGAGTGTCCAGCCGCCTCTCTCTAGTCCTGACCCTACTGCATAGATCATCTTCTAAATGTCCTGCAGGGCCAGCATTTTGAGTTCCATTACCTTTTCAATAGCTCTTAAGGGATAAACACAGTTTTTGTTTTTAATGTCATTATCTTTACTGTTGTTTTCACCAGAGTTGAATATTTTTTTTTCATTTGAAATAACCACAGGTTTAAAATTCTCTGATCCCTAATATTTGTAGAAGCAGCACTCAACTTTGATGTGGTCCAACCAACCACCATGTCAGTTACTGAGTTAGACTCTGCACATACAAGCAAAGAGCACATCTGTCTACTTCCATGTAATCCTAGTCCTAGGGCCTAGCACATGACATACATTCACTATTGGTTAAATGGAAGGTGGATGGGTGGATGGGAGGGTGGATCAATGGATAGATGGACAGATAAACAAGTAAATGGGGGGAGGGAGGGAGGAAGGGAGGGAGGGAGGGAGTAAGCTTAGATGGATGGATGGATAAATGGATGGATGGATGGACAGATGGATAATGGATAGCTAATGGATAACAGATGGATAGGTGGGTGAACAGAGAATGCCCACTTAGATGGAAACTCTGCAGGCAGGAAACTGTCAAGAGCATTAAGGAAGCAGCAGTAGCAGCAGCCTCACTGCCATGCAACCCCTTGTCTCCTACTTATCTCTTCTTTGTCTCCTACTTATCTCTTCTTTCCAATTGGATTGAAAACAAAAAAGCCTAGAAAGATCTAGAGTGAGGATACTTGAAGATATTGTTCGAGTTGGAAAAGCTAAAGTTTGCCAGCTTCCAGTCTGTCCTGTAATGTCACAAAGGCAGAAGGAATTCTTAGGAAGAATAATATTTATTGTGAACTCAGCTTCTGCCAAGACCCCAGGCAAAACTCCAAAGGACACAAGCATGCCTTTGCCAAGGTCTCTTTCCTTTCTAAGTTCTGCCTCTGTGTCCTTCACACACAGAAGTCTTCATGCACGTCTGTCTCTCCAAATTCTCTTGTGCTCTCCTACCTCTCCTGAGAATCCATTCAGAGCCTTATTACCAGAAAGCCTTGTTAACTCAATTCACACTAAGATGTAGATGAAGATTTACATTCCTGGAGCATTCATAAATAAGGTTATACTAATTCAAAAAGCTTCCACTGCTAGAGTAGCTAAAATGTTCTTTCAAGTGAAGAACGCTAGAAGCCAGGCCAGCAAGATGGCTCGAGCTTCCTGAGCAAATCTGGTTACCTAAGTTCAATCCATGTTCCCAGTCTCTTCCCTCTTCTACTCACCTGAAGGCAATACACCCTCCCTTTGGGTTCCCTGGGTGCTATTTCTCCCCTTCTACATGTACTTGGTCTCGTGGGTTGATTCCTTTCTCCCACACCTCACTCATTATCCCTTACCTAGCTCCCTACTGCAACACTTAAACTTACTTTATTTTCTCTGTCTTGAAAGAAAGGACAAACCAACCCACAAAACTCTTCCTTGACCCAAAGTCTCCCTTCTCCCTATAGCTGTAGCTGAAACCATCTGTTCCACTATAAAGGAGGATCATGACCTTGTCTAGTCTTTGGTCCCCTTGTCCATACCTGCCATTGTCAGGGTCCCCAACTGCCTGGGTGCTGCTCCCCAAGACACATTTTCATTCTTCTCTTACTTGGCCAACATCTGACTACCTGATCAGGTCCTCTGCCTTGGATTATCACTTGCTTCCAGGGCTTCCATAATCCCACTTCCCCTGCCTTCCTCCTACTTCTCTGCTCACCTATCTGATATTCTCAGTTCCATGTAAGGAAGCTGGGTGTACCTATCCATGGCATCACGTACTTCCCGTCAAATCAATGTCACATGGAATCATTATTGTTGAATCTACTCTGCCTTCCCTGCAAGACCCTACTATCTCTGAGGGCAGATGTCTGCATCCTGACAACCACAGTAAGCTAGGACCTGGAAGGAACTATGGCATGGAGAAGACTGATCATAAAAAAAAAATTATACATGTAAAAAGTATATGAAAAGTATGTACATTTTATACATATATTAATATACATAATTCCCATTACAAAGGTAGAAATCACAGTGGTAAAAGACGCTAAAGAGCACAGACAAGGGATCCATTAGTGCTGTTTGCCTTCAAGCCTGGTAGTCTTTCCAAGGCCCTGCTTTTACAAAGCTGTGGGGAAAAAAAGAAGAAACTTACTTTTTACTTACATTTTAACTCACTAATCTGGAAACCTGAGCTGTTACTAAAGCAAATTCTACAATCCTTTCAAGTGATCCTTGAGAAAACACCTCAATTTGCAGTCCTCTGAGAAGGGCTTGCTATCCCTGCCTGGGTCATCCTTGGCATAATCATCTCCAACCCATACACCATTCTCATCGCAGTTCAAAGTCCCAAGGATCGATGATGCCAATGACTACACAGGAGAGTGGACCTGTCTAGCAAGCAGAATTACAAATTCTGAGTGGATACTGTACATTCTGACCATGCCATGACATAGCCAAGCAATCTGGGGAAATTAGAACTAGAACATGGATGACATTTTAAAGAAAAAGTCTCAGGACTGTTCATGTCCATCAGAAAACAAATCCTCACGCAACTTAAAATCCAAAACTTGAGAGTCCATTGCATAGAAACTACAAATTCCAAATGAGTAATGTGACCTGCTACATCATAGTTGTGTGTTCAGTTTTATAGGCATTAATTATTTCAATGTCACGATGTGCTCATCTTTCTTACAGTAAGGTTTGCCAGCTTCATTCTTTTGGTGAAGTATCTTATGAAGTATCCCTGGTGAAGTATCTTAAAGAAGGTAATGTAAACACTCCTGCTCCCAGTTTATTCTTCCATCAGTTCAAAAAGAAAAATTAAATATGTATGGAAAGTGAAACAGGGTAGATTTTATTGTCAAACATTATTGTTGTGAGATTTATATAAAAGTTAAAGCCATGCATAATAGTTCAAGCCTTGTAATCCCAGCTCTTAGAGAGGCTGAGGCAAGAAAAATATGAATTTGGGGCCAGCTTGAGCTACATAACTTAAACATATAAAGGCTGACTCTCACCTCCAGCTCACACCTCATTCTCCTCAACCACATCACACTGTAGTTGTCCTGAAGACTGAATCAGCCATGGTGTCATACCCTGTCTCTTTATCTCTTTGTGGTCAGCATTTAAACCAGGCCCTCCTCACACACTCAGGTATGCATTTTCTCTCAACAAAGTTCACTTTGCTTTCGGGGATATAAGTACCAAATGTCCAACTGGCTTTAGTCCTGGACTTAAGTTCCTGTTCTGTTGACTGCCATGCCCCTATTCACACTATCTAATGCTAACTGCCTGAGCAGTTTGTGATTTCCCCTTTCCACTCCTGAATCGTGCACATATCAGTGGGACAGCCAGAACAGGTGCTGAGACACGTGTTTAATTTGACACAAAGATCCCTAACCTGTCCTCTTTATGAAACCAATTGCTGTTCTCAGGAAGGTGATCTCAAGATAGCAGGTGGATAATATTTAAGCCTTCATTTCCTTTTACTTCATCTACTTTTTGCTGAGCTGACACTTGAACTTGTTCCATCGGGCTTTATGATCTTCACTTGGAGCTACAAAGCTAACCAAGGGCTGAAGACACCCACATAACACTTAAATCACCCACACTCCCCCCCGGGGTGTTGTGCTTACACTGTTTGCCAGCTGAGGGGCCTCATCACCACTTTTTCACTGAGCTTCCCTGTGTCTTCATTTTCAGGCTGAGGTATTCATTTTCCTGTGCATCCAGCTCAGGGCAACCTTCTGCTGAATCTGTGCTGTCTACCACTCCACCAAACCAGGACTTTCTAGGAGGACAGCTGCAGAAACTTAAACCCACTCAGAGCTACATACAGGCAGGCTCTGATGCAAAACACACTTTCTGGTACTTGTTCCACAGCCACTCCACATCAGCTTGCCTCACAGAACCCCAGTGAGAACTTTCAGCTTGGGGTCCCCTTGCAAGAGGTCGTCTCTAGGCATTGAAATGTCACTTCCTTGTGTCCTTTCCCAAACACAGGTCCATCAGACTTTCTAGAAATATCTACGGTCCTTTCATCTGGATGGAGAAGTCAAACTAGTGACATCACAGACCTCCAAAGAATGCCCCATTACCCCGATATGTTCAACACTCATTACCCCAGGATACTTAAGTTTAAGGAACCTGTTTAAATGGATGGGCATGTGTTTTGTGTTCAATTAACTTCCTTCTTCAAGCATGTTGGCGTTAATGGCACACTTCTCTAATCTCCAGCGCTGCAAGGATTCACTACCTTGGAAATGAGAGCTGTGGGGCCTGAATTCCCCTCTCTTTCTGGCATATTCACCTATTTCTCTTAGAAGTTTCTCAAAACTCAGAAAAAGTAAAGAAAGGAAAGGAGGGCTGAAAATAACGCAGATGTTATCCATCTTTCCAGTAGTCTTCAAACCCAAACCCTATGGAGGCGTTAGAAAGTCCCTCTTGCCACCAGAAGCCAGCACCTGGGAGGCCAGGACCTGACAGTTGAGCCCCAGATACGACAGGGTGCCTAGTTGGGAGTTGTCATCTAGGTACAGGATCTTATCTTACCCGTCATTGGTTACTCCAAGAAGGAAAGAATACATAGATAACAGAAAACAGAAGGCAGTGCCGGACACCAGAAACGTCCCCGTCTCTCCGCCGTCACCTAGACTGATTGCTAAGCCCCAGGCAGTCTCCATCTGGCTTCCTCCCCTTCCACCGCGCCCCCAGGGCCGCCCAGGCGGCGCCTCCTTACCTTGCGGGAGTACGGGGGCTTGCTCAGGTGGATGCCATCTCGAACCAGCTTATCCCTGATCATGATCTTCAGCTTCAGCTTGGGATAGCTCACCAGCTCCCTGCTGCGCGGCGCGCTCGCCTGGCCACGGGGGTCCCCACGAGTGCCCTGGGCCGAGCCGCCACAGGGCTCCCCCCGGTGGCTTGGGGTCACCGCGTTCACCTGCGGTGCGGGTGGCACCGGCTGAGGCTCCAGGGTGAAGTAGAGACCCGCGGCGGCCGCGTCCTGCTCCCGCAAACGGCGCACAGCCTCCAGGATGCGGCGACGGTGCATGGGAGCCAGCACCCCGATGGCGTCCAGGTCCGGGTCCCCGATCTGCTTGCATACTTCCAGATCATCGTAGCCGTTATCCACGAAGGACTCCGCATACTGCGGGAGCTGCAGAGCTTTCAACCATTCGTAAACTATGTTGGTGCACATGGTTGAGCCTGGGAACCCGGCGGCGAACACCTTCCTGGTGCCCTAGTGACACGGGCTACACCAGTTCTGGGAACTTTTAATCTTCTCCTCGAAGGAGAGAGTGGAAAAAAAGACAAGGCAGGAAAAGTTTCTCGGTTAAAGGATTGGATCCGGCCGGAGAGCGAAAGCCATCGGAAGCAGCGGGAGACACAGCGAGCGAGAAGCGGCAAAGCAGCAAAGTGAATTCCCGGAGCAGGCGCGGCGCTCGCGGGCTCTGGCTGCTGGGCGAGTCACTCCGCTCGGCGCCGCCCCTGGATGCGCCGCTTTGGGGAGGGGCGCTGCAGGCGGGGCGGGGCGCACCCCTCCGACCCACGCAGGTCACCGCCGTGCCGCGCTCCGTGGGAGTTTCCCCAGCTGGGACAGTCCCCGGGCTGCGCGCCGCATGTCGCTTTCTGGCCCCAGCTGTGAGCGTTTGCACCCGGCGCCCCAAGCAGGGAGGAGGCTCCTGCGCGCAGACCCAAGGATACCGGGAGCTTCTGGTCTCCGCGAGTGTCAGTCCCTGCCGTTCCCCAGGTCACAGAGACCCGGTGGCTTTTAAACTTCCAGGCTCCGATGGATGCCCTGGGTATCTTTTGACGTTTCTTTTGAACGCGACTTCTCTAAACCCTTGGGTGTCTCTGCGCTCACTTCTTCCCCAAGGCTGTGCGACTCCAGTCTATGCTGTGTCCGAGGGCACGTCCCTGTCACCTCACAGGGCTGCTGGAGGCTGCGAGGTCCAATGTCCCTTCTCCCTTTCCGGTGCACGTTGAGTATCCTTTCCCCAGAGCGGGCTTGCAGGCTGGAGCCTGGGGATGTGGCTGCCTCTATGATCCTGCGCTCTGTGCCTGGAGGAGCGGAGCTTCGGTGGCAGGGTGCGCGCGACGTGGGGACCGCCCGGGTCCAGCCTGCGCAGCGCGTGGCCCCTCCTTGCTACAGCTAGGTTCGGGGGGTGGGCTTCTGGGGAGGCCGTTGCTGCGCCTGATTGCTTCGCCCCTCCTAGACTGTCGGATCTGGGAAAGTTTGAGACGGGTTGTTACTTTCTTCTGGGTCAGTGCATCCCCTCCTGGTCCCCTGTTCAACCTAGGCCAGATCCCCTCAATCTCACCTGCCATTTGCTTTCTCTACACCCATCCTAGGTATTCTGCAATGGGCCCCTGAGTGGCTCTGCCTCCAGGGACACGCTAGGCTTTCTGTCTAGGAGACCAGAGACCAGAGCAGACCCTTCTTTCTCCCGCCCAAATTCTTCCGGAAATCGATGCACCACCAAGTACCTCGCATTAAGGAAAACGCTGGGACATCTAGCACTTTCTGTCTAGCGCAGAGTAACAAAATCAACTGAGTGTCCGGTGGTGCCAAAGCCCCAGCAACCATTTGAAGGTTGGGAACCTGAGCGCCTAGACAGCATTTAACAAGTCTAACTTCTGGCAACTATTAACACAGTGAGAAACCCTTGAGACAGAAACACAGTTTCCCCCCTTCTTTTCATAGAAGTGCGATTCAACTTTACACCTGAGCTGTTATTTCCGGGTCTGACCTACACCCTTCCCCCCGCCCCCCGAACCCAAGGAGTCCCAGTGGGGCGGTGCCTGCCTCTTACCACATGGAGCGGTGGACACATAATTATTTTAGAGTTGTTCCCAATCTGTGGGCCTTTGGGTGTAGGGAGGGAGTGTGTGTGCTTCTCTTTCCCTAAATTAATGGGGCCTAAGCCCCTTTTGGACTCAAAGAATCAGATGATATCATTTTTTTTTTTTTTTATGTCCTGGAAAATACTTATGTAGACGCACCCCCAAATGCAGTCAGGTTCCCAGGCTCTGAGAGTCAAGAACCTCCCATTTAAAAAAAAAAAAAAAAAAAAAAAAAAAAAAGAAGAAGAGAGAATCTCTGTGAGATCAAGGCCATTCTGGTCCACATAGCAAGTTCCTGGCCAGCTGGGGCTACATACCAGAAAGACCTTATATTCAGGAGGAGGGTAAAGAGGACCTTGGCTAGCTGCAGAGCTCCCTGCATCCCCAGCCCTGGGTCACCCCAGCCGCCCTTTCTGATCCTGAGGTAAGGTCTCCAGCCCTGGGAGGATGAGATATGCCTAGTAGCTGGGCTGCTGTCTGAGCCAGGCCCTCCCGACTCAACATTTTACTGATGGCAGCCTGTCGCTCGCCAAAGCAGGCTCACAGTGCCCCCTCGTGTCCAGATGTTGGAATTTTAAGGCGTTGCCCAAGTCCCAAATTTGTTTTGTTCAGCAAGCTTTAGGGTTCCTAGTCATCTTCTTAGTGCCAATAATAATGTCATGTTTACCTTGGTATCCCAATGCTTCCTCATAAAAAATCTTTTATTTTTATAAAGGAAAATACTCCAATAGTGTCAAACTAATTATGCTATAAGGAAACAGAAGTTACCAGCAAATACTTACTTGGAAGTTAGCACTGTATTCCAGGTCACTAGACATACCTCTAAACTTACGTGGTAAGTAGAATTATCATCCAATATCTTACAGAAAAAGAAACTGTGGAGCAAGGCTTAGAATTCTGAAGTGATGAACTGGGGCCGGGCTGCCTCCTTGTAGACTTCAAGATATCTAGCAGTTGCTAGACTAACAGAAAATATTGGGCTAGTTTTAAAAGCTGGGTCTTTTGTTTATTTGTTTGTTAATCTGTTTGTTTTCAGATGAGGAAGCTTAAAGCCCTTGAGTTTATTATAGTGTTTTTCTTTCCCAAGTTGTGTGAAAAAGGGCAATAACATTACTTAGTAGTCCCGTGCCTTCTCTTGCCCTGGGGGAACTTAAGGACATTCATTTTGTCTCATTAATCTTCAGCAAGGCAGTGAGTATTTTTATTTCCATTTTACAATTAGGGAAACTGTATTGGAGGAAGATGAATGACTTGCCCAAGGTCATATAGTAAATCAGGACAGAGACAAGAACAAGCCTGTCTTGTAGGCAGTCTCCTCCTCCACAGGCAGCAGTGATTCTCCTTTATTTATGTGCAGAGCACTGTCCAATTAGGAAATAAAGTATCCTGTGCTCTCTGGAGGGGATGGCTTTTATGAATTAATCATTTGTTAATCAGTCGTAAATAAAATCTCCTCACTTTTGACCTCCTGTTTTCCTCTCTTGCATGCTTTTCCCATACTTGCTTGAGTCTTCCATGTGTGGAGCTGAGAGGCTTCTGTATATCCAGCCTCTTAATAAATTTCATTCATTTGTGAAATTACAAAGGCACAGCTCCTTCAGTTTAAGCTTGTTTCTACTTCCTATGGAGGTACCTGGCAATCATCCAAAGTGAAACTGGCAAGAACAATGATTTGGGGGCTGGGGAGATGACTCAGAGGATAAAGCACTTGATGTATGGAGTTTAGATCCTGAATTCAGATCCCCCAGCACCCACCCAAAAAGAGTTAAGCTGGGCATGTGTCCATAACACCAGTCCTGGGGATGGGGGCTAAGGGAAGGTACAGGCAAATCCCAGGGGTACTTGCTAGCAAGAACAGAGCTCCAGGTTCTGTGAGAGACCCTGTCTCAAAAAAATAAGATGGATAGTAATCTGGACAGACACAGGATGCTGATCTCCAGCCCCACAGTGCACACACAGGCAAGCTGGAGTGTGTGCACACACACACGCACACACACACAGAATTATTGACTAATTTTAAAATTTAGAAGCTTTTTAGAGCTACAAATCCATTCCATAATGATTGCAGCATCCAGATTCACAGAGAGGAAGTAGAGGCCCAGGAGGCAAAAGTTTCTTACTGCAGATAACACAGCCAGTGTGTGACAAACCCCAGATCTCCTCCTCCTTGCCTTGCTGTTTGGGATGCACTATGACCTCATTTTTGTTAGGAGCACCTGGCTATTGTCAAAATCATCTGTTTACTCATCAAATGTATATTAAGTAAACAATGCCATATACCTAAAGCAGAGAGACAGAAACAGAGTTTTTCTTCATTAATGGGAAGTGGAGAGATTGCATTTTAAGTGTATAGAAAATAAAGTGATGGATTTTTTGTGAGGTGTTTTTGTGTTTGTTTTTTTTTTTAATTCTCCCATCCAAGTACTTACCAACTCCAACCTGGCTTACTTTCCAGGATCAGGTATGTTCAGGCTAGTGTGGCTATGGACTTGTAGTCTGTAGATTCTATATATCATAACATTAGCTAAATTTTGAAATTAAATCTTGACTCCCAGACAAAAATGTATTTTTTAAGTGGCTCTGATGCTCCTAATGACAGCCTTAGAACACCAAAATACTTTACGCCAAAACCTTGTCAAGTACCTTTACTTTTCACAAGGTATTTTTGACTGATAACCTTTTTTAGAGTTCTTTTTTTTTCTTTTAAAGAAAAAATTTCAAAAAATTCCATGCTCATAATTCTTTAGTATATTTGGGGTCAGGGTTTTGTTTGTTTAGTTGGTTTGCTGGTTTGACTACTTTGTTTGCAGCAGCGATCCCTCTCTAAACGAAAACCACTGGGAAAGTAGACGGTGAGGAAAGGTTCTATTTAGGCACCATTTTAGAACTATTTTGCAATGATAATAACTATGGCAAAATGCAAAGTTAACACTGGCATTCTCAGTGTAATTAATGATAATTATATTCAGGTTTTAAATTCTAAATATCAAAAGGCAGCTAGCTTTTCTACAAAGTGATTCAATTTAAGGTTGCAGAGTGAAAAAGTAATTTGTTTTGAAATTTTCCTGGTGTTACATAAGGTTTCATACTATTTTATTTAGAAGATAAATGTTCCTATCTAGTGTGTATAAAAATTAAATTCCATTAACATCTATTAAACATCAGTCCCCTGGGTGTCTAGCCTTGTAAAAGTCAAGAACATATAATATTAATCTTAAAATGCTAAATATGCCTTGCCTCTGTTTAAACTTTGGGCTGAAAGCATCTAGAAGGATAGATTCCATAGGGAGAAATGAGAATAATGGGCTTGAGTGATGGACCAGGCAATCTGTTCTCCAGCAGCTGGGAGTGAGGCGTGGGGTTGGCACCTTAATTGGGGGCAGGCTGGGTGCACACATCTGTTAATAGGCCTGGACTGTAGATGTTCTACTTATGTGTGACAACATGGTTGAAAAAAGAAAAGATAAGAAACAGTGGGGCGTACCAGTGGGATGCCATTAGACTATGCACTGCTATTATAATGGGACATATTTTTCTTTAAGTAAGGAACAAAAGGGATAAAATTAATGTTCTAGAAT